ATCGCTCTTGTGTCCCACACGGGCCTCCCTACCCCGCCGGCAGGTGGTGCCCCCACCGCCTCCTCCCGCAGCTCTTCCTCTCTGAGGGGCAGGGTCTGGTGGTGGAGGAGCCCTGGCAACGGTGGCCCCCGCCCCCGCCGGGGGTGATGACAAAGGGATCATCCTGCCCTGGGGCCGGTGGCTGTGCTGGGCTCGGCACCTTCCCATGTCCACAGCGCCCACCCGTGGCTCCAACCACGCGTCTAGGTTGCAGAGTCAAACAAACAAGACCCAGGCAGACAGCCGAGCGCTGCCGCATCCCTGGGAAGTTATTGCCCTCCGGGGTGAGAAAAGCGCCCTCTCCTCCACTCTCCCCTCTTCCTCTCCCCCTCCCCCTCTCTTTTGGTCCATGGATTTTTTTTTTAAAAAGTTGTGGTAAAGTATGCCTAACATACAATTTACCATTTCTACCATTAAATGTGCAGCCCTCACCACCGTCCACCTCCAGACTCTTCCCACCACCCCGAACTGAAACTCTGTCCCCATTAATGCTAGCTCCCCTCCCCCAGCCCCATACCTTCTACTCAGCTTTCTGTCCCTGCCTGCTCTAGGAATCACACAGCATTTCTCTCTTTGTGTCTGCTTATTTCACTGAGCACACTGTCCTCCAGGTTTGCCCATGTTGTAACAGGTTTCAGGGCTTTATTCCCCTGTCAAGGCTTAGTAATATTCTGCTGTGTGGATAAGCTACCTTTTGTTTATCTGTTCATCCACCCTTGGACACGGGCTGCTTCCATCTTCTGGTTATCCCATTTTCTCGCGAACCTCTCTTTTTGTTAGTTTTTGTCAAAATCATACAGAATATTTTATGGGGCGCCTGGGTGGCTCACTCAGTTGAGCGTCTGCCTTCAGCTCTGGTCATGATCCCAAGGTCCTGGGATGGCTCCCCGCTCAGCGGGGAGTCTGCTTCTCCCTCTGCTTCTGCCGCTCCCCATGCTTGTGCTCTCTCTGTCTCTGTCCCTGTCAAAAGAATGGATAAAATCTTAAAAAAAAAAAAATCATACAGGATATTTTAACTTGCAGCCGCCCTGGAAAACCTAGAAATTGTAGCTGGACAGTCTCTGGGCCTCAGTTTCTGCATCGAGCAAAGAAGACTCTAAGGAAATAACGCCGCTTGACATTGCTATGGTTTGTCGACATGCATGTAGCAGCAGCAACAAGAAGACTGTTCACCTCTGGGTGCTCACATAGGAGCCAGACGAAGATGTGGCGGCTGGGGTGACCTCTCCAGGTGTGATCCTGGGCCACGAAACCTCTCCTCAGTGACTCTGAGCTGCCCCAAGCTCTGGCCAAGGGGAGCCACAGGTCCTCAGGATCTGTGCAAATGACTCAGTCCCCATTAATCAGCTCCAGGGTATTGTCCTTGGGCCTGCCCAGTGACCTGTGACCTGGGGCAGAAAAGAACTGGCCAATCAGGACCAGCTCGTACTGTCTTTCAGGAAGCTGAAGAGGTGCAGTGGAGAGGTCAGAGGAGCTGGGCGGGGGGGGGGGGGGGACACGACGACACACTCCTGGAAGCCAGAGGAGGAGGGGGCACTGAGCCCATGACAGGAGGTGCAGGGCTGCCAAGAGACACAGCACTGCGGGGAGCCCAGCCCCAGGGCAGGTACCCTTCCAAGCACACATGCACACACCCCCTCCTACTTCACAGACTGGAGCATGCCCAACTTCCCCAGAGTCTGACAAGAGTCCACAGTGTGAGGCAGGATGGGAGAAGGGAGCCGTGCACTCACAGAGGACAAGAACTCACAAACTTTGGCAGCCTGATGCTAGCTAACCTGGCCACACCAGTGAGCAAGAGCAGAGAGCTCGGATGGTTCACGGGGTGCGGGGCCAGGCTGCGGTTACACGCCAGTGAGCTCGGATCGTTCATGGGTGCAGGGCCGAGCTGCGGGGTACAAGCTTCTTTTCGGGCTGATGAAAAGGTAAAATGGATTGTGTGACGGTTGCGCACCTCCGTGAATGTACTGGAACCCCCTGAACCGTACCTTGTAAGTGCGTGAATTGAACAGCATGTGGAGTCAGCGTCGATCAGGCTGCTGTCACGCGCACACAGACCCGCAAGCCCGGGGAGTCCCCCGCGGACCCGCACGCGCGCGCTCTCAGTTTGCTGCTCTCGCGCTCTGCTTTGGCGGGAGGACCGCGGACGGGCGGGACCCGCTGTCCGCCGAAGCCTCCCGGCCTGCCTGAGAGGTCGGAGGGAGTTTGGGTGAAAGCGAAGGGGACAGTGGATTTGGCAGTGCATTGAAACCGCAGGGCGGGGTGGAGCGGAAATGGTCTGCAGACTCGCGGGACCCTGACAGCCAAGCGCTGCGCCGGGGAGAGAAAGGGGCGGAGCGTGTCGGGGGCGGGGGGCGGGGGGCGAGCCGTAAGGGCGGGCCTGCGGGGCGGTGTCTGGCCGGAAAGGCCCCCAACCTCAGCCTTTTGCGTGACACTTGCCTTCTACTGCAGTTTTGGATTAAAATAAAAAAGACCCCAGATAGAGGTGGAGGAGCCCCCAGCCCCGTTGGGAACACACCTGGGGAGACCTGGGCACGAGCGAGTTTCTGAGGGAGCAGATAGCACAGGCCAGCGCCCTTGCCAGAAGGGGGCAGTGAAACTCAGCTGGTGGGGAGCCCCAGGGAGGCCACCCCCGCTGCAAAGGCCTGGCCTGGGAGTTGGGCATTCGGTGTGAGCTGGGAGACGGGTCAGGCTGTCCCCAACAGCGAGAACACGCGTGCACCTGTACCAGCCTTCTTGCTCTCTGTATTATCCCTGGTCCTCTCACCGATGCTCCAAGGCAGGGTGTGGGGGCATTGACTTTGGCCCTTCTCAAGGCTGCACAAGTGAATGGCAGAGCACGTGAGGGCAGAGGGGATTCTGGAGAGTCCACCAGCCAGGTCAGCCCCACTCCGAGTCATCCCGGCCTCTGGAGGCTGCAAGTGGGGAAGCCGCTGTCATAGCACGCCTCGGCAAGCCCCCACCCTGCGAGGTGCTTCACAATTGGGGCTCTAAGGAATACACGGGGGACAGCTGTAGCCTCTGGGGCAGGCCAACTGTAGCATGGTGCTGGGGTAACGGGCCTCCGACCCTGGCACAGGCCCTGGTAAATGGCTCCTGGAAGAAGGTGCTTCTGCTCCTCTGCGGGCCTCTTCCGGGTACTCCCCCATCATGGGGAGTAAAACACAAGCAAGGACTTTGGTCCTGCTGTTGGCTGATTATCCTGACCAATTCCAGGCATAAATGGGTGACGTGGGCAGAACTCTGGGGCCTGGGGGAGGCCCAAACAGTTGCAGCTTTTTTTTTTTTCCCAAAGATTTTATTTATCTGACAGAGAGAGACACAGCGAGAGAGGGAACACAAGCAGGGGGGAGTGGGAGAGGGAGAAGCAGGCTTCCAGCCGAGCAGGGAGCCCGATGCGGGGTTCAATCCCAGGACCCTGGGATCATGACCCGAGCCGAAGGCAGACGCCTAACGACTGAGCCACCCAGGCGCCCCTGCAGCTTCTTTTTGAGAGAGGACCCTTAATACCCAGGATGGACTGCTGGCCGGTGATCAGCCCAGGGCAGCTAAGGGAGTGGCCAGTGGACTGTACTTCCTGGTCACTTTGTTTCCAGTTTGTATTCATGGCTTTCTAGGAGGGGGAACAGGGCCCTTTCATCAGGGAATTCTGCCAACAGGCTATTTTTACTAGTTTGACAGACCCCCCCCCACCCCGTAATACTGAGAAACCAGGCTGACACATGGCCATGGGGCATTCCCAGCCTCCCCTGTCTCCAGGCACTGCTACACAATGCTCAGGGATTGATGCCGGCCTCCCCAACCCCACGACCCCCAACTATTTGGGAGCAGGGGCTGCACTCCTGAGACTGAGTGCTGGAAAGGGGAGACCTGCCAGTGGAGAGCCCTGCCCACTTTGTGCACTCACTCCCCACTGCTCTCTTCCTCGGCCACCCCCAGAGGCGGTGCTGCTCTCCTGCCCACACCTCACGCAACCCTGTGCAAGAGCAGCAGATATTTGCTAGATGTTCAAAAGTATGTATTGACAGTACATATTCCGGTTCTCCCTTTTTACATGGGGTGGGCGTAGGCCTCAAGAAGCAATGGCATGAAAGTCATTCCTTCTTGGTTTGGATGCCTCTCTGGAGGGCTCCCTTCCCAGTGATCAGAATCAGGACTCCAGATCTTTGAAACTGGCCCTCATTCTGAACTTTAACATTCTTCTTTTCTTTTGCAAGGAAGAACATTCAGAACCAATACAAATGAGATGAAAAGGTTGATTCGGTTTCCAGGAAGATGGGACTGAGGCCGGCGGGCCTCACGCTTTGAAGCCCTGGTAGCTTCCCCTTCTCCTTTCGGGTCTGACAGCAGGCTCTAGGTTTGAGTGCGGACGACCAGACGAGGGACGTGGGCGGGAAGCAGCAGGACGTGCTGCAAGGGAGGTGGCGCAGGACTGGAGGGAAACTGCTCAGTAGACCACGGGCAGCCCAAGAGGCCCAGCACACCTGTGCCCCTGTGTCCCATCCTGTGTCCCAGCCTGTGTCCTGCGGGTTCCAGGACCTGCAGGGACAGACAGGCTTGGCCCCCTCTTTCCCTCTTGCAAAAATCCCTGCTTGGGGGGCCTGTCCCAGGTCTGTCGCGGGGAGCCGCCGGCTTCCCAGACACCTGCCAGGACAAACGAAGCCCCTGCGCCAGCACGTGGAGCCTGCACGTGGGAACGGGTAGGGCGGGGGTGGTTTCCCGGCCCGGGGCTGCGGTGGCGAGGCAAAGAGAGAAGGGGAGATGGCCCGGGAGTCCCGGGGTCGGGAGGACGCGGGTGCGCGCTGGCCCCTCCCCGCCCCGGCCCCGCCCCGGCCCCGCCCCGGCCCCGCTCCGGCCCCGCCCCGACCCCGCCCCGCCCCGCCCCGCCGCCCGAAGCCGCGGCCCCGCCCCTCGGGCAGCGCGGCCCCGCCCCGCCGGGTTGCTAGGGGAAGTGACGTCACAGCGCGATGGCGGCGGCTCCTTCAGGCAGCTGAAGGGGGATTTAGGCCCGGAAGATCCGAGTCCATCCGCGACGGGGAGAGGGCGAGCGGGGTTGGCGGGGGCCGGAGCAGGGGCGGCGGCGCTCGGACTGTCCCATCCGCCCCGTATTGAGGCGCTGGGAGCAGCGGGGCGGCCGGAAAGCGATGGTGAAAGCGGGGCCGTGAGGGGGGCGGAGCCGGTAGCCCGACCCGCCGTAGCGGCAGCAGCGGCACCGCCTCCCCGAGCTCAGAGCCAGGAAGCGGCCGGGAGGGCAGGAGCGAGCCGGACCCGCTGCCGCCGCCGCCGCCGCCATGGAGCTCAGAGTCGGGAACAGGTACCGGCTGGGCCGGAAGATCGGCAGCGGCTCCTTCGGAGACATCTATCTCGGTGAGGCGCCCCTCCCCCCCGAGCCCGGGCCGCCCCCCAGACCGGCGTCCGCCCGGCCCCAGCCCCCCCGGTCCCCACGTCGGGGTCCCGGATCCCGGACACCTCCGGACCCCGCTCCGGGGACCCAGGGGCAGACCCCCTCCAGCCCTCGTCCAGCCCCCGCCCCGGGGAGCCCCCTCTCCGGCCTGCGGCTGTGACCGGGACCGCCCCCCCCCGCCCCGCCCCGCCCGGTCCGGACCCCCGCAGCCTCCCAGGCGGGTGTGGGGCGCCGGGAACTCTTCGGCCCTTCCGTGGGGTCCGGCCCGTGCCCCCGGGGGCACCTGCCCAGACGTGCGCCCGCGGCCGCCGGGGAGTGGCCCTGAGCCTCGGCCCGAGACCCTGGCTCCTCGCCGCGGCCCGCCCGGTGTCCGCGCCTGGGTGTCCCCGCAGGCAGACAAAGGCCGCCGGGCGGGTGTGCGGCCCTCTGCGTCCTGTGCACGTGGGGGGTGGGCACGGGGAAAGTCCAGGGCGCCGGTTCGAGGCTTCCGCGGCCCGCGGTGCCCTGCGCGACAGTGCAGCCCGGGCTCACCAGCTTCCCTGGGTCTGGACCTCGGGCCACTAGACCGCGGGACCGAGCGCGGGTTCTCCCGGGTGGGTCGGGTCCTCCGCCTGGTCGAGCGGTCCTGGAGTACATGTTGCGCACCTGGGCAGGAGCCAGAGTGGGATTTAGGTGAGTCCGGACAAAGTCGGTGTTGCCGTGCTGGCGAAATTAGAGGCAAATAAAGTAGCAAAGCTCTCTGTACTCACGAGGTTGTCCCCTGGCTGTTAAAATTCTCAAGGTAGATTTGAAAAGAATGGGATTAGAAAGTTCTGGATTGTTTCAGATTTACAGTGGAAGAATATGCACGTACACGTGTAACCTAAACCATTGGCTTTGCATCTTAAAGTTGGGGATTTAAAAATAACTTTCCTGCCTTTCTCAGAGGCGCTGTGTATAAGTTACTCCATAGGCCCTGGACCTGAGAACGTGCAGCCTGGCGGTCCTGTGTGTGCAGAGGACTGTTGCGCAAGTTTGGGGTAAACATGCTCTGCTGTGGTGCAGAGCGCCTGCTTTGCTGTTTCTCTTGGGCTGTGTACCTGTCAGAGAGGGTCGGGAAGAGCTTCAGATGGCCCCCACCGTATCCCCCATCCTGCCCTCTTGGCACCGGAGCCGGTGCAGCCCCTGGGTTGACAGTGTTAAGAGGAGGGCACGTTTGTGTAGTTCGTGACTGCTTTGGGTGCCTTCTTACCCCACAGAGCGAGCCTGTCCCAGGCCTTACAGATGCCTCCGAACCTGCTTGCCCCCTGCCTCACTGTCCTGTTGAGTACAACACGCTTTAGAGATGTTTCTATCCGGTAGTCAGCTTTCTGCGTCCCCAGCTGTGTTCGTGTAGGGAGAATTGCTGGGTGAACGTAAACTGTTGACATTATTTATAGAACAGTACATTTTGGCTGAAGTTTTAACCTAGAATCTAGGAGCTGTACTGAAAAGTCCATCCATTAGCCGCCCTTACACAGGCATCAAAAAAATATTCTGAAACCTTCTGTCCTCTGGTGTTAGCCAGCTCTGTGTTTTCTGAAGCTGGTGCAGGGAGCCCTGTCTGCTTATTCACCGCTGTGTCCTCTGGGCCTCACCTTGGGGTGGGCACACCAGTAGCACTTGTTACACAGATCAGGCTGACCCATCCCAGAGGGGTCTGTCCTCCGTCCCCAGCATGTGTGTTCTAAGACGGTTGGGCTGTGCCTCTCACGCCCTCGCTCCCAGCACCCACACGGCCCACCCATCATTTGAGGTGCACTTAAGACACAACTGATCTTGGGGCGCCTGGGTGGCTTAGTCGTTAAGCGTCTGCCTTCGGCTCAGGTCATGATCCCAGGGTCCTGGGATCAAGCCCCGCATCGGGCTCCCTGCTCAGCGGGAAGCCTGCTTCTCCCTCTCCCACTCCCCCTGCTTGTGTTCCCTCTCTCGCTGTGTCTCTCTCTGTCAAATAAATAAATAAAATCTTTAAAAAAAAAAGACAACTGATCTTTCCCATCCGCGTCGGCTCTTGGCCCACACAGTGGTCCATTCAGGCTAAGTGCTACGCCACTGAGGAGAGGTGATATTGTACTTGAGTAAGATGTGCCTGGAAAACTGGCTTTGAGGAAGCTCACCAGCTACTATGGTGGAGGGTCAAAGATGGCTGCTCCAAAGACCGTGGGATGGAGTGAGTCATCCTTACCGTAGTTTTTCCTGCGTAGGAAAGGCGTTTGTTAAGGAATTGGGTCCTCATGTCTTGAAAATTGTTACGTCCCACATATTCTCGTGTGATTACAATTTAAATCATTTCTACTGCTGTCATTTTGCTATTGATCAGAACACTCTTGATTCCTCTACGTAGGTTCACCATGCTGTGATCCTGGCATTTGGGGTCTTGGATTTCCGCCTGGGACTTTCTGTGCTTTCAGAGGTTTGAAACTGTGAGAAGAGGAGGCCGTCTTTCAGCTTGCTGAGTGCCTTGTGGACCAAGAGGGCCCAGTGTTGGCCTGCCTTCCTAGTGGCCTGCTGCACTGACATGGTCAGGGAGCACTGTGCTCTGCCAGTTATTCCAGTCCTTCCCACAGTTGCCCCTTTAAAGAGGGGCAGTACGTTGGGGCTATTTCTCCAGTGCCTGGACTTCAGAAAGTTTATGCACTGGATTTGGGCCACCATGGACCCCAAAGTGTGCAGTCCCGATCCTCCGTCTGCCTCCAAGCTTGCCAGATCCCAAAGGCTCTTGGGAAGGGCAGGCTGAGAAGGCCTCAGAGCTCATGTATCCTGTATAGTACACGCTTAGGCAAAATGTTGCCTGTACCTAGTATTGGCAGTGGGCGTAATGCAGAGCCCTCCCAGCCCTGTGCCTCTCTCAACTTTGGCCCTTTGCTGCTAGAGGTGATGTTTTGTGAGGCACTGGACACCAGAAGCCCTTTCACTTGTGGGCAGTATACCTCTTGTACACCTGCTAACATTTGAAAAACAGTGAGGGCCATGTTCGGAATGTGGACCACGTGTTCTCAGTGTGAGCAGTAGAGCTGAGGGAAGAAGGGAGTGTGTGGAGTGGCGGTTCAGCAGTCAGCAACAGCCGCTGTTCTGTTCAGCCAGTGTTCCACAGTGTCTGTGAACCTCCGGTTCTCCTGTTCTTGTCCACGTCTATCTTCTAGAGGCTGGCAGAAGGGTCCTCGGGCCCCTCCCATCCCCTGCCCCTGCCATTCATGACTGGTGGAATGGAGGTTTTCTTCCTGCCCGTTGGCCTTTGTGTCCGACCCTGTCACTCCATCTGTTTATCAGAGGATGGCCTCCTCTGCCCATGTGTTACCTGGGTGGACTGTGCAGTCTGACGTCATAACGTTCATAAATACCTTTAGAGAGCTGAAGCTTAGTAACCTCTTCATACTTGATTTTCATGTTTTCCCTCTCACTGACTTTCTCTTCAGGAGTGCTGTGCAAGGATGTCTGGCATGAAGTAGGGGTTCCAGAGCGGTGGCTGGCTGGCCAGCCGGGAGAGAAGACCAGTTTCCTGCACTGGCTGAAGCTTTCCTAGTCACCTGCCTGTGTTCTTTAGGGTGGTGGCTTAAGCTCTGAGTGTGTCTAATGAGAGGTTGTGATCCTGCATCAGTTGCCTTGTCAACAGTTGCCCTGTGAGAGTGACCTTTGCCTGACTACCCAGGGGCCTCTCCCTGTTTCTTTGATAAGACAGTCGTCAGTGGGAGTTGGGCGTAAGGACAGCTGTCCCAGGACAGAGTCAAGCGTGGGGTTAGGTTCACTTAATTCATCATCTGACTTTGCTCAACTTGAGAGATATAATTTTGTTTTCCTAGGACCACCACTAACCTGTGTCTAAGCAGAGAGTAACATCTTTGCCTAGAGAGAGGAACTCTTATCCGACCGGGTGGGGTTGCTTAGCTACAGGAGGGGTTGAGGTTGTTGGGGAGATGAAACTGCTTATTATAAAAAGACACTGTGGATTGACTTGTAAATCTGAAACCCAGTGTTCAGTGGGGTCTTCTTGTTCCCTGTCTTGAAGTACATGTAAAAGTTAGTTGTGCTGAAGGACTGGGCTTCGTAATTTCCAGTCCTTCACAGACCATTACTTTTGTAAGGTAAGATTAAAATGTTGGAGCAGCATCACTTTGCTTTCAGAGCTCCTCAGGGCTCTCCCACTCCCCTGTATTGGTGCCCCCGGGGCTGGTGGTGTTTTGAGCACTAGACTTGCAGCAGCCCTACCAGTGAAGCATGAGGTGTGATGCCAGCCATAGGAGATGGGGCAGGGCTGCAGGACTGCACACTGGTGGACCTTGGTTTTGCCTGTGACGTTTGCTTCTCAGAATGCACAGGAATTGAAGCTGGGCTGCTTGGTACATCTACCCCAGTGGGCAAAGACCTTGCAAGGAAGCAGCCTAGAGTGTATGCTGTTCTCACATTTACTTGCAGAGCCCAAGCCCAGCCTCTCTTTGGGTCATGTGACTCTGGGCAACTTTCACAGTTGTGATCCTAGGGGAAGGCTGGCTGTGATGCCGGCGTGATCTTGGGGGAGACTGGCCCTATTTGCTGGTATAATCCTTGGGGGAAGCTGGCCCTGCTTGCTGGTGTGATCCTAGGGGGAGGCTATCTCTGTTTTCAGGTGTGATCTGTGGGGAGGCTGGCCCTGTCTTAGGTGTGATCCTGGGGGAGGCTATCTCTGTTCTCAGGTGTGATCTAGGGGGAGGCTGGCCCTGTCTTCAGGTGTGATCCTGGGGGAAGGCTATCTCTGTCTTCAGGTGTGATCTAGGGGGAGGCTGGCCCTGTTTTCAAGTGTGATCCTAGAGGAGGCTGGCCCTGTCCTCAGGTGTGATCCTGGGGGGAGGCTGGCTCTGTCTTCAGGTGTGATCCTTAGGGAGACTGGCTATATTACCAGTGTGGTCCTACAGGAAGCCTGGCACCATGATAGGAGAATGGAATTCACATTGTGTTCCAGAGTTGCCTATGGTCATTGCCTCCAAGACTGTCAGGTCAGTATTGCTGGGTTGATTGATGTTTGCACTATCAGCCACAATAGAGTGGAGTTAGAATGTTCTCTGCCTTCTTGAAGGAGCTGGTCTGGTAGGTAGTCTGTGTGGGTCCAGGCTGTCTTGTCATTGAAAACCCGCTTCGTGGCAAGGGTGACACTGCTGACGTAGTTGGTGGAGCACGAGTGCTCTTGCTAAAGGCCCCCCTGCTCATGCTTTGGGGGACAGAGTTGCTGATGTAACCAGTAAGCTGAGTCATCCGTTTCTCTGTGTCTCCTGGGCTGGCGGGTTCAGCTCGGAGTCCAGGTCCTCACAGGAACTCCCAGTGCATTTCTCATTTGCACAGTACATTTACGATGAAGTCATTTCTCTTGTGATTGGATAGATCATCGCAAATGCGGGTACGAAGAACAAAGTGTATTACCTGTCTTCTTTCTGAGTGCCTAAAAGAGTCTCTGTGGAATGGTAAATGAAGTTCTTAAATCTGGAATAGTCACTTGCAGTGATCAGATGGTGGTTATCCCCATCTGGGGTTTTGGGTTCAGGCCCACCAGAAGCACTGCACTTCTTGCAGCCCTCTGAGCAGTCTGGAGGAGACTTTGGGGGTTCTTGGGCATTTAGTGGACACACAAACCACAGCAGGCAGCGTTCCTGCAGGCTGATCATGGTTTTAGTGCTTGCTGATCTTATTCTCCCTTTACCTGGGAATCTCAAAGTGCTTTGTAACTGTGAACCCACTCCTCTGTGCAAGTCTCTTGTGAAGCAGATTGCACTTCTCCCCACTAAACCTGTGGAGAGAGAAACCAGTCAGTTGAGGTTGCTTTGTCCAACACTACAATCTCCTGGGGAAGGAAATGTCGGGGGTCTGTTGAGCTGCTGGAACCAGTACAGATAAACATACTGCTGGGAAGGATTAAAGTGGTTTATATATCGGACCCCCTTATCTACAGGGGAACATTCCGTGATCCCCAGGGGGTGCCTAAAACCATGGACAGTACCAGACCCTGTGTATACCTTGTTTTTTCCTAGACGTACTTACCCATGATAACGTTTATAAATTAGGTGCAGTAAGAGGTTCACAACAATAGCTAATAATGAAATAGAGCAATTATAGCAATATATTGTAAATAAAGTTCTGTGACTGGGGTCTCTCAAAATCATCGCACTGAGCCGTACTCCCCTTTGTTGCAACGCTGTGAGATGAAGTGCCTATGTGACGGGAGGAGGGAGGGGAGTGATGTGGGCCTGCGGCATCGGGTGAGGCTACTGCTGACCCGACTGTGGGGCAGGTGCGGGATCATCCGCTCGCAGACCGCGGTTGTCCGCAAATAAGGGGGGACACCCGTACTCAGAAGGCACCTATGGGAGGACTAGGTATGTGCTATTTAAAACTTCCCTGTTCTGTCCAGCTAAAGCTTTTTTTTTTTTTTTAAGATTTTATTTATTTATTTGACAGAGAGAGAGGCAGGAGAGAGGGAACACAAGCAGGGGGAGTGGGAGACAGAGAAGCGGGCTTCCTGCTGAGCAGGGAGCCCGATGCAGGATCGATCCCAGGACCGTGGGATCATGACCTGAGCCGAAGGCAGACGCTTAACGACTGAGCCCCCTCCAGCTAATGCTTCTTGAAGAAGGGTTCACAGGCACAGCTTTGGGGCAGATGAGAGCTCAGGAGCATTTGTGTGTGAAGCCTGGGGCAGGGTGGGTGTTGTCACATTGGCATTTCCTTAATTGGAGTAAAGCAGAGATAGAACATTTTTAGATAAAAACTCTGATTTTGCCTTCAGACTCATGGGCTGGTTATCAGGAGGTATTAACAGATGTTTTGCCAGTTTTAGCATAAAACTAACAAAAGGTATGTGACAGGTGTGTGTTGATGGGTCTCGTCTGGGCTCTGAAAAGGGGTCTGCCCTTCTGGTCCAGCATCAGTAAGAAATGCACAGCGATGTCCTGTTCCTCAGGAAGGGAGAGGTTTGCAGGAGTCTCCTTATGGGAACCAATTCCACTTGAGAAGTGCCCTGACTGTTCCAGGATGCGTGCGGCTCAACACCGGGGGTGGGTGGACTGAAGCCGTGTGGGTGTTTGGTAAAAAGAAAGGCCCAAACCCACCCACACAGGCCTGTCCAGGCAGCATGGAGAAACGGGGAGCATACAGTCACCCTGGAACTCCCCTACTGCTTGGCCCTGGATGGGTGAACGCAGGGGCTGACCAGCAGGTGGACAGGAAGGTTCAGGGCAGAAAAGAAGGGAGTCCTTGCAGAGAGAAGCACGCCGCCCTGTCTCTGGATCCCCTATTGACGTGATCAGAGTGGGGACATATGGAAGTGGGTGAGGGAATACTAAATAAGATTTTTCTATACATATCAAAGACTTCCTGCTTAAAAAGTGAAAGTAATGATGATTTTCCACAGGGGTTTGTCAACCACCGACACCATTTCATGGTGGAAAACAGAGCAGAGGGTCTGTAGTGTGTGGTAGCATTGCGTTAGGTGGTAGACACCAGATTATTAATGTTTGTGATTTTCTTTCTTTGCCTAGGTACGGACATTGCTGCAGGAGAAGAAGTTGCCATCAAGCTTGAATGTGTCAAAACCAAACACCCTCAGCTCCACATTGAGAGCAAAATCTACAAAATGATGCAGGGAGGAGGTATGCCCTTTACCTGTTCGAAAGAAAACCAGGGTTGTATTTGATGAGGGAGAATGTGTCGTGAATCAGAGCCTCTGGTTTATTTGGGAAAGGGAGGAAAATGTCCGTACGCTTGACTCAGTCACATGGCTTCCTTCAGATACCGAGAGGCCTACCGAGGGCCTCATTCAACATAAAACATGATTTTCTGCTTTTCCTTAGCCTCATGTTAGCTAGTAGTGTCTTTGAACTCAGGGTTCCTGTGAATTTTGATTTTTCAGGCATGCTCCTGATTGTTGGGTATGCCACCTCAGTCACATGCTTTGCTCACAGCTTTGAGGGATCCCCCTCAAAGGCTCCTGAGTGAAATAGAGTTTAAATTCAGTGATCTCTGTGGCCCCTTCCAACTCAATTACTGTCCCAATTCTGCGAAACCTCTCAGACCTAAGGGTGTCTGATGTTTGAGAGCACCCATCCTGATCTCAAAGTCTAACTTTTAGAATTCTCTGGACTTCAAAAGTTTGGCTAATGGAGCAGGTGGGGATTTTGTTGGCGGTCTCAGAGTCCCGAAGACACTGCAGCATTAGGAAGGACATGTCCGTGCTTCACCCCAAGGAGCTCCCCTCGGGATCAAGGCTTTGTGTCTGAAGAATGGCTGCACTGCATCCTGTTTGGAGACCCTTCATGGCAGAAGCCTCTCTGGTACTTTCATAGTTTGGGGTGCTCTCTGCACTTTGCCAAATGAAAACTTGTCTTCAGAGTCTGAATTCGCTATTTTCAGGTGAGAAGGGAGGATTGGTGATTTCACTCTCGCATCTTTCCTCCACAAAAATGGTTTAATCTGTGCTGCTACTAGCAACCAACGTTTCTTGCTTTACACAGCAACAGGTGTCTCTTTAGCAACAGATACATATCAGAGCAACACCGACAGTCCTGCAGGACCCATCACAGAGGGCGTCCAGAGCTTCCTGTCCCAGCTTTCTCGGGACCCGGCACCCAGGTGCAGAAACGCCTGTGGGCCCCAGGGAGTGGTCAGCGGAGGGCAGGCTTCTCAGGCATCAGGGACAGTCTACTACACAGCTGGTCAGGTGGTGAGGAGAAGGAGGTGACTCGGGGTGTGGCCTTCAATGGTTGGGCAGGTCCTGATGGCTGGGGGTTGAAGAAAGCTTACAGCTTAAAAGCCTTGTTCAGTGTTAACAAGCAGCATCTCTGTGAGAATTCGTAAGCTGGAGGGCCAGAGGGCAGAAGGAAAGGAAACGGTCAGCTGACACCCCACATAGGAATTGGATAAGTGGCTGAGACTGAACAAAGAAGAGTTTATTCCCTTCGGGACGGGGCTCCTCCATCCCTGGACCACAACTGTCTGCTGTGGGGCTGAAGGCCCAGGCTGCAGCATTGCATCTCACTTTGAATCCTTGCTTTAAGATTTGTGCCCCTTGTCTAGGGTCCTAGAAACCTAGGATCTTCTCCTGTCTGGACATCCTCCACACGTAGATTGAGTTTTACTTCTGTTTCAAATGTGTGCTTGGTGGATATTACCAAGGTGCTTTAAAGAAAAAGTAAAGATCGCAATTTTTGAAAACAGATGATGTCCAGAAACGCAGAGTCCATGATTCTGGTAGTGTTGTGTGAATTCCTCACCACCACGAAGCAGACAGGGTGCGGGGGTCCACGTGCTGTTGGTCAGCCTTCTGAGTCACATCTCGTGCCAATACACACAGACCACTTGGTCTTGGTGAAGGGACAGCAAGTACTTCTGATTGTGGCTCTTCGATGTTTTTAATCCTGCATTCTGGGCTTACGTGCAAGTGGTTGAGACTGACGGCACCCTAGGAGGAAGCTAGAAGCTGAGAGGCGGCCGTGCACCCTCGAGCTTGCTGTGACTGAGGGAGGAGTCAGCCTCACTCACGGACACTGGTACGTCTGCTGCCACTACAGTCCTGTGCAGTGGGTGCAGTCTCGCAGACCGATGCAGAGCTTTCCAGGACAGAGATTTGAACCTGAGCGTCATTGTGCCCAGGCCACCTGCTGCGCAGCAGCTCTGCTCCTGGGGAAGCGTGCCCCAGATGCTTCCACCTGCCGCAGATCTGCTGGCAGTGATGGAACACTCAGAATAGCAGAAATAGATCTTGCTTAGTTTCGTGGGTCAGTGACTTGGGTAGACAGCAGGTTCTCCTCAAAATGCAGTGGACTGCCAGGCCCTACCTAGACGTTAACTGCTCTTTCCCATCCTGATGTCCCCAGAGTGGCTTTGGACCAACCCTTTTTTGGTGGTCCCTCAGTAGAGAACGAGTTTTTAGTCCACAGCTGCTTCAGGTCAAGGCCCAGGGTGGGGGTGGCATGTGGGAGGGGCGAGTGGGCTCTTCATATAAAATCTGGGCTGGCACTTGCCAGTGCAGTAGGGGCAAGTGGCGTCCCCAAGTTCACTTCTCTCGTCCTAAGTCCTGGTCAGTTCCTATGCTTTATTTTGGACAGTCACTCTCTTTTTGTTAAGAAATGTTTCACAGTAGCCAAGAACGTTTGTAATATACGGGGATCAATACTAAATTGAACACCTGTTGCTCCCACCTGCTTGAGAGGCGGCAGGACTCCCCCCCCCTCAGTGCCCACGTGCCAGTCCCAGTGCGCTCTGGGGGAGAAGCCACAGTCCAGAGTTTGCCCCCGACATCCCTGCCTAGTTTATTTCTAAGTTTTTGTTTTTAAAAATTGTTTTTTTAAAATCCAGTGACCTTGTCTAGAAACGTTTGGCAGTTTGCTTATAATTGTTTTAGGTTTGAATTGCCAAACACTGTGAAAATTTCTATTTGCATTAATGTTGGATATTGGAACTTCTCATAAGTAAAAATGAAAAGCCTTTGCCTGTCCCTGTCCCCTAGTATTTCACCCCCAGGCATAGATTTTGGTATCTTTGGACTCCATCAGGTGTTGAGAACTACACATAGTGAAACCAGGCGACCCATTTCCCATCCAAATGGCACATGGGTGGGGGCAGCGTGCTGGCCGCCCCACTGCTCTTGCCCCACAGGCCTTGCTTGCTCCTGCACGGGCCCAGCAGGGGCATGCATTTTCAGATTTCCGATCTTGCTGTCACCAGAGGATCAGTCTGGACAGCAGCGGGAACATGCTTGTGAATAGCTTTATAGCTCATTGCTTCCCAGGGCCTCACCACTTGATTTTCCAGACAGTCTGCTCAGGACAAAGCAGGCTATACAGAAAGCTGAGCATCTTCTGGCCAGAGAACTTGAAGAGCAAGGGCGCTCTGCCTTTACCACGTGTTATCTGCTCCCTGATGCTGGGGTGACAAGACATGCTGGTATCGACCACTAGAGAAAAAGGTGCCGCCATTGGAATCCCCCATCAGTGTAAACGGACATTGTGAGTCCTTGATGCACCTCTGCCTGATACACGCTACATTTGAATCTATGCAGTACGGTCTTTGTGTACCATACGGCTTTACGTGGGGCCCCGAGGGCCCCTGTGCTGACACGGCTGATCTCTGTAAGCAGTACTTCTCCCCTGCTTCTGACTTCTTGTTCTTGGGGACGGTGCCTCGATGGCACACAGACAGATTTTCTGGCGTGCAGACTGAGAGTGGAATTGGGTTTTATGGAGCAGGCCAGCACTTGGCCCGCAGGATGACATTGGGTGCCTGCAGGGCCATGTCTGTCATCCCACCTGCGTGGCATCTGGGCTTCTGTTGGAGCCACATCCTCTTTGGTCTCGTCATCACCATTCCTCTGGAGTGTGGCGTGGGGTGTCTTCGCTAGCACAGAAGACAAGGGGGAGCGTTAGAAAATAAGGGCGTCTCTTTCTTCACTGTATTTTCTGAAGGGAAAGGGTCAGTGTGTGTATTACACAGTGGTAACAGATCCAACCATCACATCCATATTTTCCAGGGACGGGGTCAATGAACCCCGGGGCGCAGTCTCCTGCAATTCAGGAGCAGAGGGAGGGAGCTTGGGAGAGGGCAGACAAGCACATGCTTCCCTCCTCTCCCTCCTTCCCCAGAAATTCAAGATTCTACACAAAGCTTTAGTTTCCTGCATTAAGCATGGAGTTACATTCACCACATCCTTTTTTTTTTTTGTAAGATTTTTTATTTATTTATTTGACAGAGAGCGAGAGCAGGAACACAAGCAGGGGGAGTGGGAGAGGGAGAAGCAGGCTTCCTGCTGAGCAGGGAGCCCGATATAGGGCTCAATCCCAGGACCCTGGGATCATGACCTGAGCCAAAGGCAGACACCTAACGACTGAGCCACCCAGGTGCCCCACATTCACCCACATCCTGCTAAACAGTCTTGTGGCCCCTTTGACGTGCATGTCCTGTACCTTCAGGGTTGCTCCTGAGTGGTTGAAGGTCCAGTCATCTTCCCTTCTTGGTCTCCCAGCCCTGCTCCCCGCCCCCCACCTGCTTGCACATCTTCCCTAGGATTAGAGACTGAAGTGGGTTTGATCCATCTAAATACAGCAGTGTGGCCAGAATCGTGCCAAAGAACAGTCTTGACTCGGGAGGTTGGGAACAAGGGTTGGAGTGTTTCTGGCTTCTTCAGAATTTTGCACAAATCATTTAAGAATTAAGGAGACACCCCAGAAATTAAATACAAGGGCGTGTGAGCTTTTTGGGGGATAGAGGAAGTAATAGGGTAGGAATCAAGTTTTTAGGACAGAAGATCTGGCCCAAAATAGGAAATAGGGGAAGAGGGCAGGCACCAAGAAAGGATGGCTTAAGATACCCCCCCTCCCAACATGTAAACATACTTCAAGAAGGGGTCCTTTCAGCCTGTGTTTCAGATCCTCTTCCTGGTGCAGAGCCTTTTGTTGGATCCTCTGGCTGTTTTTCTCTCAGTAGGAAAAAAAAGGTAAACAATTAAACCCCAGAAGAACATGGAGAAAGACCAGCTCGTATTTATACAAGCCAGGCTGCCTATCGATCACCCAGCCGGCAGCTTGTGAGTCCTATAAGTCCAGCAGACACAGCGATCCAAGGGGGCAGCTAGAAACCAGGATGAGGCACAGCTGGT